TCACCTCTAGCCAAGCCACAATGTCGCCAAGTCTTTTCGAGGTCTGAAAATGATTGTACATTTTACTGGAAATATGCAGGAAACCATAGTAAAACTGGCGCTGCTTGGCTTGAAAGGGGCATTCCTCATGTGCTTTTCGCTCTCTTCAGAAGCTCCTTTCCTAGGTTTTGATTTCTGCCATGAAAACGCCATGATGCGGGGCATTTGCCCTTTTACGGCTGCAGGGATGCGCGGAATCCATTTGGACCAATTGGTACTGCAAAAATACGAGGACGAATGGGCGAAAATCATGTTATAGTTCAATCCTGCTTGAGAGTTTTTATGTTGGTACGGGGTTATTGAATCTGGCCATTCCTGACGTAGTGGCTTTTTATTACATTTGCCTGACGTGATTCTTTCTGGCAATATTGAAAATTACGTCAAATGCTATGCAAAAACAAAAATAATGTAATAAATAGAACGCTGAATCACATACGCAGAGAAAGCTTCGGTAAGATTAGATCATCATGAGGTTAGAAGGGGTAGAGAGGGGACAAAGGGGTTTAGAGGGGACAAAGGTTGGGAAAAGGACCCAAGGAGCTCTGATCTACATTTAACCTCGTTGTGGGGTGCTGCATGCATTCTCTCTATATAACGATTTCCGAGTGCAGGCGATGTGAAAGTACCCTCCCAGACGGATCTGGCACCAATTTACCGTCCCTGGAGGGTGCAAGACCTGGGAACCGACCTCGGACTGGGTGTTACTCCCCATCGCGCGCGTAGTAACAGGATCTCTTGCCATTATAATGCCTCAGCGCCTATGAAGGAACTGTGACCATCCTAGCATATGGTCAAACATGCGATGTGGGGTCCTCGACAGGTTGGTCGCGGCTAGTTGGAAAGGGAGGGGGTCGTTTTCAAAAGCATCCGCCGCTAACAGAGCTTCCCTTTAAATTGTACTAACAGCGGCCTTATTCGACGAGAAATCCCAAGATTCCTGAGAACGGCAATGATCACACTAAACTGAGGGGGGTCGTATCGATATGCACTTCTGGAGGGAGTCGTTCTTACAGAACAAACTTCCTTAACTTGATGCTTGAGCCTGTTCTACCAAGGGAGGAAGAAAGGATAAAATGATAAACTTTCCACCGTTATCAATAACTTTTAGGGCTGCGGCACGCATTCAAATAACTTGCGAGGTCCATCCGGTGAACAAGTCAGTGTTTTATCGACCACGACTGATTGGTTACCAATTCACCGGCGGTTAATTTGGTCAGCCTGGAAAGGAGCCGATCACGGACTTTACTTCAAATGAGTACATTGCACATGGTAGCGAATCACTTGCCAGTACATTACCTAGGCTAAAATCAAGCGTTCGTCAAGAAATCTTCGGCTGGATTCCTAGTTGTTTGCCGAGACAGAGGGTTGTTTTTGGCCTGAGTGAAAAATTCCTGATTTATGGGGCGAGGTGGGGGAGGGTAGGAGGGTGAAGATGCGTAGCACACTCGCACCCTTCTGCCCCCTTCCAACGCGTGAGCACCCAAAAACACTTCTTTCAAAATTATAAACGACACCTCTCGCTGGGGTCCCTAGCGTAATGCGCCCCCTGAGGCGCCATTCAATGTCCCCTGCCAATTTTGTTGGAAGTAGAATGCGTGGCCTGTTCCAGAAAGCCATTGAACCGCATTGAAAGTTTTTCGTTATCCATGCTCCATTCGATCTGGGAAATGAGGAACTAGCCAATGAGAGTTGGACGGAAATATTTACCCCCTCCGACTATCGCAACTTGCTATTTCAACAGAAATAGCCTATCTCTCCTTTTCTTTATTTTTCGGTCTCATGAAATTTCTAATAGGACGCTCACTGAGACAGATTGCTGCTGTTTTCTGATTTATGGTCACGCTATGAGATGCCTATCTTCCTGCCTCACTTTTTGGTGGACCATTACTTCCATAGAACATTTATGGTATTCTCATGACGAAGGCAGTTACAGTAGGTTCCACCGCAGTTCTTTCCCGTACCCGTTACAGTGCTTGTACCAGATGCTCAGATTTTGTTAGCGTGAAAGGAATCTGAACAACGATTATCACAAAAACGGTAAATGCGTCACATTCTGTTTTGGTCTGCAAAAATTTCTTGCACATTTCCTGTAATGGCAGAAACCGATAGTAAAGCACTTCCGTGGTGATTCACCGCAGTAAATGGCTCGTTCAGCATTATCTCATGACCCATCGTCATAGTTTTACAGGGGGGAGGGGCAAAAAAAAGTCACTTTTCTTCATTGACTTTCGAGGCGCTATAAGTTACACTTTATTAAATTCTGATCGGACATTTTTACCACCATATTGAAGAGCATATTAAATACTATCATGACACTCCGCCTTCTGGACGAGCGCCATCGAGAGATTCTGGCACGCGACCGCGATGTGGTGCCTGAGATCAGCGAGATAGTCGATTTCTCCGCCACCGTAGACCACCCTATTGAACTCCGCCCGAACCGGGTAATTGAGGCAGTTCAGGTTAGGTGACCTACTTGGATATTCCATCTCCTTTAGGTACTCAACGCCCTTCCATTCCAAGTAGGCGAGAGTTTTTCTAACGCCCTCCGATTCCATGTGGTGGCACCCAATGCTGTAGCAGTACAAGTTTCCAAGAAGGTACGGGCGACGACATGTGGGGAGGATATTCTTCTCGAGTTGCTCGATGTAACCGCCAGCGCTCACCTTCAGTCCGGGTCCACGAAAGAAAATATCGGTCTTCCTTCCAGGTCGGTGGCCGTCCATACTAACTGATACAGTAGTCCGGTGGTAGAATTTATCTCTCCAACTATCATTGTGACAAAGACACGCTTATATAGACGTAATGCGAGAATAAACATTACAACACGCGGAGGAATGCTAATGGGAATCAATCTCTTTCCTGCAACACTTATACATTGTCGACATAGAACATATCTATAGAGAATACAGCCTGCCCAGAGTATATCAGAAGTCGTGGTATGCCACGACACTCCGGCGGGCGGAAACGAGAAACGAAGAACTACACTAAATGAACTACAAATAGGCAACCAAGAAACCCCTCACAAAGAAATCGACCATAAAGCTAGATAAATTGTTAACGTCTAAATATGTGCGCAATAACGATCGAACTAACGCAGGTCCGGTGCCAGAGAAATGTTCGAGTTGATCGTTTCCATCGAAATAGAGGATAACAACCATGTCGTCTCACGGAGGATCTTCGTCGCAACGGCAGTGCTCCGAGAGGAGTAGCAAACCAGGATGAATACCATACCAGCGACGACAGAATAACAGAGGACGACAGAGTAGCGGAGAATGGGTGGCTCGACAGTAGTGGCGACAGCCTTGGCGACTGTGGTGAAGATGATGTCCGTAGACCGTGGCGACGTTGTCGGAGCTGCTCGATGTTGGAGGTCATCCAGATCGAGAGTACTGGTCTCCAGGTAGCTATCCATGGGTGACTCCATACTAGAAGTTTCGCAGCTGTTTGGAGGTGACATGAATTCCAAAGGTCTTCTCCAGTCAGGCTGCGACTGGAGATGACTTCATATTTTGGTGTACATGAAGGTGATGGGCGAGAGCCAGCTCCTGCTTATCGAGGAACATCTTGGGTATCTTCCGCCCTGGTACTCGTATCCACGTCCTCTGTCTGGGCTGCGAAAACTTTGCTGATATGTGACTCGGTCGAAGTGACTTTTTTTTGCCCCCCTGTATACATTTGTAAAAAGCACAGCTCAGCTGGGGCGCGAGCGGAATTTTGTGTACCTTGCACTACAAAATGCCATGATCTGCGTTGAAAACATTTTTGTAAATAACAACACTCGACCGCCTACGGGCTCCATGGACTTGAACAGGAACACTCACCATCAAGCTCCCATTCGATTTTTTCTCACCTTTGCACTACATATCCTTAACGAGAAAAAATGAAGAATTAGTAGCAACAAATAAATAAAAAATACAGCTAGTAGCTTCACGAGACCAACAAGTCTCCACAAAGCGACCCTGCAAGGTTTTGCAAGCCTTCACAGAATTGTAAGACGAATCGACAGGATTTACCTGAATGCTTCCTCCCTCTAAACCAAACTGCCTCTTCCGATAATCGTTCGGCTAATCCTTGTTCCAAAAAAGACATTACAAGGTAGCAAATGAGGAAGCCGAATTGAGTGAAAACCATTGGCAAGCAGGGTTCAGGATTCTGGGAAGAATCCCATCAGGGTCGGGCTTCGTCGCGCAGGGGAGCCGTATTCGTCGACGGGAGGTCTTGATAGGAATTTTTCCATTGTAGCCGAGTTTTTTCTAGCCGTTGATCTTGATTCCCGTCTCATGTGCACTTAGATGCCCCCTTTCCTCTTTGATGGCGCCGTCGCAAAATTACTGTACTACTATTTTTTTATTATAATTAGTTGTGGTAGTCGAAATTGGATCGTACTGACATAGCCCTTTCACGCGCTACGCTAATGTACCTGGTTGCAGGTGCAGACCCATGTGCGGCGTTCACTTTAGGGGGAGACGGTCAAGACAATCGTACCTCCCGCACCATCGCGCTGGCGGAATCTGTGGAGTAGACGCTGCAGCTGGAATGAGATTTCAAGTACTCCATCAGTGGAAAAACAGTTGACATCAGAGCGTCGCATATGTGGCTGCAAACTATCTAGTTGCCGCACTCAGTAGACGGCATCGTTGGATATGCCCACCGGCGCGGCGAACTGCGATTGTTGTCACATATCCCCCTCAGGACCAAAAACGTCAAAGTGCTACAATAAATCGAGCAGCTTGCCCTGTAAATGTCGCGCGTGCGAATCACCGCTTTATGCATCCCAGCTACAACGAATTCCCTAAACCTACCCACTACGCCCAGCAACAAATCACTTCTAATCCACATCGTCAGGAAAACCCTCCCGGGCAAGAACCTCAAGGGTGTGCGACGATTCAAAATGTTTTCAACTATTTTAGGTTCGTGACTTCTTGCACCTACTCATTAAAGTGCACAAATGCGACACTGAAATGATCAAGACGTTGGCGTTTCGACTTGGAGCACGGCATAAGTAAGTATCTTGAGCTGATTCGTAATTTTTTACTAACATGCCTTATTTTCTCAGTTTTTTGGCAGTACATTATTTGCCAAACACTATAAGTCCGCATACAGTCGTTATCACTGAAGTAGCACTTATTGAACGTCGGAACGATAGAGAAGAGGCTAGCGCCGCGCCAAAACCCACCCGACCAACTTCAGTAGTAATGTCTGTACGTATTGGGGCTGGTTCACAAGCGATGGAGCATTTTTCTAGCATTAAGCTTTGTCTAAAGAAAAATGTTATTTAAAGACAGTTTCCTCTATTTGTATGGAGAGTTTTATGCCCGTTTAGATTGTGCTCAAAGCAGCGCCCACCTTCGTTTTGATGTTCGCCCCTCTCTGGATACTCACGCCTCCCTAATGAGGATTGCAGTATGTACTAGTTTGATCCTCAAAAGGCGAAAGGATAGCGCCATTCGTTAATGAGGAGTCGTCGCCCCGCCCACCTGGCCAGCATAGGGTTCTATATAGGGCATTTTCCATGATTTTTTCTGCTCTTTCTCACTGTCCTTTTTTTTTTTTTTCTTCCGAGTACGATTATTATGAATCTCATTACTTACTGGAAGCGGCTCGAGCCTTTAAAGGTTAACCGAAACAAATTGTGCAGCCATGTGGGGGAGGCGCATCCCTTCTTTCACAAGTGGGTGGCACCATCCTCTCGTATTTTTGAGCTGCGAAATTAGTACGTCCTGCACCCTTTTTGACGAAGCTACAATATCTAAGAGGGGCGTAGGAACATCATATGAACGCGGGCGCTGCCTTTGAACTCATCTGTTCTTCCAATTTTTGATAGCTTTTGGGACATTACAATTGAGCACCAAGCGACGGAAGATTAGCTGTTTTGTATATTGCTACTGCTCGAGGTAACTGAGGGCACCTAGTAGCAAGCTGTGGAATATAAGATTAGGCGGGCGAAGAACCACTTTCTCTAGCATCTCTTTCAATACTATTCAAAGACTCAGGCAGGAGACGTAGGGCATCTCACCGATGCGCATGCGCTTATTGGTCCCGATGACGAGGCGGAATTTATGCGCGAACATTATGCTTTCGATTTGTAAAAATCACCCGTAAAGTGAATGTGACAAGCGTTATTCGAGAGCAGGTCCAATGAGCTCTATCAAATGCCAGCTATCTGGCGCAGCTATTCGTACACAGCTGGCTTCCGTAAACATTTCAACTCGGACGCCATCAGCTGCGTTATACTATGGAGAGCGATCCACTAGAGTCCTACGAGCGTCCACCAGCGAACACTAGTCCGAGCGCCTCGCAGAGTCAGCGACTAGGGAATTATAGGTATCAATCTCAAGCATCTGCCAGCGTCTACCAGCGTCCATCAGCGTTCAGCCGGCGACCAGGGGAATAGAGCCAGAGTTAGGAACTAGGAGAGTGCAAACACACTCTGGATTAACAGGTCGTGAATTGTGGCGTCGTGCAACCGCAACCCGCCTGCTCGCTAAGTGCACAGAGAATTATGAAATTTGTTACGGGTGTAGTGACGCTGTTAGGTTGCACACGCCCAAATTTCACGACGCGTAATCCAGCTGTTTGCTATCCTTCTCCGGTCATGGTGAGCCCTGGTGGTCGCTAGTAGACGCTGGTAGACGCTGCCGCAAAGTATGTACGCAGCCTAAGGCGTCCGGGCGATGGTTTCCAGCGAGATCGAACTGAAATCTTATTTTAGAGTCATTTGAACCAACTTTGAGCCATTCTGAAAGGCATCACATCGGGTCAGAATTTCAGATCTTCAAACCATATAGTTCTTTCAGTAAACGCAAGGAGTGGGTGTCGAAAATGCTCATTTCTGTAGACTTTTCGCCCTACTTTAACCAGCTTTGAAAAAAGTGGAAATGAATCCCTCAAAACCTAACCAGAATGTCTCACAGGGCTAGAAATTCTTCATCAAAAGGGATTAAACTAACCCGAGAAAATTTTTTGTCTTTTATGCAAAATTTCAAATTGGAAAAATGATTTAACTTGAGGGATGAAGTGAGGTGCATCACCCCACCCTCGGTACTGGAAGCTGCACAGGAGAAATTGAGTTTGGGTCGTATTCAGGTCGATTTCTCCCCAAAGATAGCACATGCCCTGCTTCTGTAACATCCTTCTAGTTGACTGAAGTGTCATTCCAGAGTACGCACTATGTTTGAAGTTGGGCGAAATTTCACCCATATGAACTCCCTTTTGGATTTTTCTTTTTTTTGTCATATTTTCACATAGATTTTTCCACATTTTCCACTACGAATCAAAGAATTTCAGAGGCTACATGAATGAGGGCAATGACAACTCGTATTGGGCGCCATTTGCGCAGCAATTACCGATTGCAATTGCAAAGACCTATATGGACGTCGTTAATCATGACAATAAGTAGGTTCATTAATTCGTCTTGTGTAAAGGAACTGCTCTGTATAAACTGTGCTATCAACGGTTTCCTACTGTAGCCATGCAATTCTTTCTGCCCCACAAGGAAGACCAACTAAAAATTACGAGTCTGTTGAATTATGGGGTTACTGTAGCCTTTCAAAGTTGCTTCCCAGGATCCAATCAAAAACAGTTTTCATAAGAAATCTGGGCACTGAACCCGATTCCGTCCAATATGACAAGTCAAGGGGACGAGCTGTAACAGTGTGCTGTTAGCAATCTGAACCAGTAGCTCTCGAAGTAGGTTTGCTAGGGGGGGGACACTCGATGGTCCCTTTGCACCCAGCTGGGATTATATTGATGGAGATATAAACTTCTGCTAAGCCTGAGGAGATATTGCGAGCGTCGGGAGAAACCCCTGCGAAAAAGGGAGAGAACAGAAGGACTTCGTGGGAAACGCAACATCATGCACTGTCCAAATGAGCAGCGCAGCCACGCCCAATCCATCTCCAGGGAATGAATTTACCTAGAAGCTGTCGACAGGGCGCAACTGCGATCGCTTCTAAATGTACTATATAATGCATTGTGCAGTAATTTTCAGCTTATCAGGCATAGGTTTTTTTGGAAAGAGAAGCTTTTATTTCACAAGCGCCATTTTGAAATATGGTTCGTTAAGATGGAAAACAAAATTTCAGGATTAGGCGGATATTCCGAGTCCGAGTGCATGCTGACCGAAGTGAAGAGGAAGAACTGATAAATTCATGGCGTCAATTGATGAACACCATTGTTGAAGCAATGAAACGTGGATATGAAGGTTGTGCCTCGCAGAAAACACCAATGAGGCTTAGTATAACAAAGTAAGTTACCACCACAGTTATTCAAACGTAAAAATAGCTACGAGGGTTGTATTTCTCATAGATGATTTGCACTAAAGCCCTGGGCTTCTGAACATCGGATAGAAAAAGAGTTCATGGCGCACCCATTTGGAATTTCGTTACAACGCCATTAAAATTTGCACTTGCTTTTCCCTTTTCCCCATTGGTACTCCGCCGTAGGACTGCTGATCACAGGGGCTTTTTTTCGTTATTTCTTTTCGTTTCGCGACAGTCTCAAGGTTTTGTGAAGATCGAATTTCAAAAGAAAGATGCCCCAAATTATTGATAAATATGATACATATAAATTTGCAATTATATTGCCAAGCATGTCAACGTGCTTTGTTCAATTTAGTAGTTTTATCTCAATGGCTTCTGCGCTCGGGCCGCAGTCGCGGTTCAATCGTTTTTGGACAATAACTTGTGTCGCGCAGTGTAGGTGCATTTCAAACATTTCGGAGCAGTTCGGATCCACGTAGCAGGTTTGGCGCGACGTTGTAACTGTCACCTGGCGCAATTTATTTCGGGCCTAATGGTTTTGAAAGTAAGTTTGTTGCTGAAGGTAAAGGTAAGTCTTCGCTTAATCAATCCCTTTGTGGGATGCGGCACGCATTCTACTTCCATTCAGAATCGTAGTGGCTTATTGAATGCGATGTGGCCTATACAATGACTTGCGGGGCCAGCCGATGTACAAGTCAGTGTTTTATCCTCCCAGACGAATCTGGTACCAATTTACCGTCCCCGGAGGGTAGAAGGCTTGGTTGGCCTGGGCGGGAGTCGACCCGAGCTTGAACCCAGGACCGCGCGAGTGGTAAGCGCGCCACTTGTCCTACACCACCTCCGCCTCGAAAGCTTATGCATGTGACGAGTTAACCAACCAGGAATCCGAGCCAGCTCTACCCCGAGCCGGAGGCCTTCAGCTTCAGACGAGGGGGTCAAGTACTTCAGTGGAGATGGAGATATATTACTCTCACATCTCATTAGAGCATATGGGCGCAGTGGCTGGGGGCGGGAGGTTTTGCCAACGTCATTGGTAGAAGGGCTAAGTGGAGTTTGGGCCAAACGCTTTCCCACAAGCCTTCCACCTGCGACGCTGGCAACAGCTGAACGCCTCCAGCAATTGCGCCCACTGCCTTTTAAGTTGTCAAATCTCTTACCTGACTTATGAGATCGCGAAACGGCTCTCGTCTCCTTAGAAACCGGTGCAAGCGGTTTCTGGTAGGGTAAACAGACGTGGAACAGTCCTCGTCAGGAATGTCTTGCGTTCGTTCTAGCTCGTGCAAGCGAAAATGTGGAAGAACGAAACGTTGTGGACATTCTGAATTCATATGAGAAACGTAAGATATACATGGGAGATGACACAAGTTCAGTAATATTCGCTGCGGAGACTGGGGCATGTCTAGGAGGCTGGGTTCGACATCGCGCCAGCTCGATTTCTACCAATTGTTTTCGTTTGCCCGTTCAACAATCGGCGGAAAACAGGCCGGCGCTATGCTAAACCCATCCCCAAAACGTTCCAGTATCCGTAGCGAAGCGAACAAGACTGAAAC